AATGGGTGCCTTCACCCTCTAAGTGAAAATGCAAGGTTTAAGGCAAGTAAAAACAATGATAATAATAATTCAAAGACCAATACAGAAAGCAGAAGTTGTTACAAGTGCTCAGGTCATGGGTTCGGGAACATCTAGAACTGTCTAACTGCCTGATCAAGTAAAAGTCCCATGCTCACACACAGTAGTGCTCTGTGTGTGTCCATAAAATCTACCTGTCCATACCATATATGTATATATAAGCTATACTGATAGGTAAATATATCATGCACATAAACCATTGAATAACTTTTATTCAAATGAATTGGAAGGGATGTATTTGGCAAGCATATCATACTTACTTAAGCAGTGTGCACCTATGATCCAAAATAAGTTCCTTGATTGTATTTGCACAGATTTTTTTTTGTCTATTAAAGCATGCAATATAAGAACAGTGGTGTGTTACATAGGGCATTATGCAGACTGTAACTGAACTGCATCAGCAACACCCATCCAGCTTCCTTTAGCTTCTGTTTTCTTACCTATAAAATACTAATGATGGCAGTGAGACAGATCTGCTTTGAAATATTCTTTAAGATGTATTAATGCAAAATATTTTATGTATGTGTGGAATATATATATATATATATATATATATATATATGTCGCTATTAGAAGAAAAGTTCTTCTCCAGGTAATGATTATTATAATCACAGTGGTAAACATAGTTAAAAATACATGACATGGTTTTGGCCCTGTTTTGAATATAGTTCTGTGTGCTTGTAAAACGAGAAATAACTATGATATTTTTCAGAAGAAATATTTATTCTGCAGAAGAAAGGTTATTGTGTAAGTCCATGGCTGGTTCAAAAAAGTGAGAAGTTTCCAATTTTCTTTTTAGTGTAAGTCAGCAAGACATCATTCACACATTACTGGACAGTGTCTCTTCTGCTTATTGACAAAGTAGTATTTTCATGTTTAAGTTAAACACTTCTCCTGTGAGGAATGCAGTAACAGTTGTAGGATTTTACTTTTGAAATTAATTCTTTTCTTCTGTGTTGTAGTTCTCATGAGAATTAAAAGAAGTTAAAAAGACAGCTTTATAAAAAAAGGGAAGTTTTTCTATGAGGACTACAATACTGTTTTTCAGGAAGTAAATCTTCAGACTTAAATATTCATGGAAACAGTCCATATATGTGCCCAGAGGGATTTTCACAGTATGAGCAGCCACGGAGCACAGTATCATTTTATGCAGTTTATGCAACAAGGAAAGCCAAGGCACAATTGGAATTGAATCTGG